CTCTGAACCTGAAAACCTTAATAACAGTCTGCAAGAGTTTAAGTTAGATCAAGGAAGAGAAATGTAAGCAGCTTTCTTGTATTATCAACGAAAAACCTCAGTCCTAGTCCTTTACTAATACAGAATTTGCCCCACCTTACTCAATTAATGCTGTCAAGAGACAATATCATCATACAAGTTTGCTTCTTCCACATCTAATTTAATGTAATGCTACAGTTTGACAAGTCTTTTCAGTTCCAATGGGCTTAAAAGTCAGTCACATTTGCAACACAGATTTATCTTTTACTGTAACTGAAGAAATTTTAAATCAGTATTCAATTTAGATTTAAACACTTAAAGACAAGGCTTCTTTGATTATATAAATTTTCTCTGTTCCTTCTCCCTCCCTAAATGAGCCATTCTATCAGCGGAGAGAGTGCATGAGAGACTGAAAACATGTCAGAATACCCCAGATACATCTCAGTACATCGCAAACTGTATGACTAAATGGAATGATTTTCCACAATTCAATGCATGGATAAGGCTTGACAATCGTTAACTTTTGTAAATTGTTATTAGGATACAGTCAACTCACAAAACCCTACAAAGATTTGACAATCAAAATGGCTACACCAGGAAAAAAAAAAAGTGTAAAGCACAAGTCTTTGGCTCTCCTTTAAAGAAAAACAGCAGTTTGCCATGTTTATACAGATTCCCCCGTTTGCCTACCAGTAGGGGCAATATCACATTTGTGCATCACTGAGTAATAACACCATTAGAAAAGGCAACTTCACAGAAGTTATTGGCTACGCGAATTCATTTGAATGCTCTGTTTTGAGGCAGCAAGCTGTCACTGTTACACAATCAGGGAGGGTGAATGGGCAAGCCACAGAAGGAAAGCAAGGTATGGACAAAAGGGAGAGAATAAGGCTCAGAAGAAACTAGACAGAGAAGAACTCGAGAAGAAAGGGGATAACAGTGCTGCAAGTTTGAGAGGTGTTCTGATCTAAATAAAAAAGTCCTACTCTGAAATGGGACAGGATACGATAGTATACAAGAGGGGCAGAAGAAAAAGCGTACATTTCTCCTATTAAGAAGAGAACTAGGTCATAGGAAAGGAAGAAGAGATGTTGACAGAAGAAGGAGGAAACTAACACTACAGAATAAACAAACAAACATAATTTCTATGCCAAGTGAATCACTAACATACTAAAGCTTAATCTAACACTTGAAGCTTCCTATTCTGGGTAGTTTGTCCATGCTGGGGCTGAAACCCAGGTATCAATGAGTGTTCAAAGTTGTCTACTGCAGCAGAAAATCTAGCCTATCTATCAATAGATGCAGTAGTGCCCTAACACCATTGTAATACTGGGGTTTTTTTGCCCAAGCAGAAGGAACTAAACCACTTTCTAGCCCAGACCAATTTCACTGAGGTGGACAGCATTCCTGTACAACTGGAACAATGATGGGCTACAGAAATGAATGTAACAGGATACAGTTACTCCAACAGTTTTAATTCCCTGCTTACTTGCTGTAGCCACTAATGCTTCCATTATATGTAGAGCTATTTGTCCTCCCAGTTCTACTACCATGCTTTTCCACAAAAGGGGAAAATTTTAGGTGCAGCTTCCAGAAAACTTAAAAGCATGTACTGCATTTTGCTGTTTGACTTGTTTAATTAACTAAACTTCTGCAAAAAAGCAGACAAAGGATAAGAGGAGGAGGGGAAAAAACCAAAGCCAAAAATCAATACTGTTAGTAGATATTAAGCAAACTATTTAACAAGCCAAACTATAATACTGGGCAAACAGGGCATTCACCTGGACACATTGATCACAACAAGGACACTATGCACAAAGTACAGCACGGAGAGCTGGATAAAGGAGAAAAAACAACAGTAAGGTCTCCCTTCTAACCCACAGGTTTTGGAAGCATTCACCATACGTAGGCCAGATATCTGAAGAGTTCTTACTACAGAATTCCTCCTGGGAGCAAAAGTGGAGGAAAAAATTAATGCCTAACGTGGCACGGAAACTAGCTGGCACGAGTAATTAAAGGTAAAAAGTATTTTGCCCCATAGATTTTCTTCCTAGTGCAGATTCAAACATATCATAACCGTCTTTGAAAATTCCTTTTATATCAAGAATTATACACAGTCAAAAAAGGTACATTCCGGGCTTGTCCTCCTAGATTAGAATATCGCACTACTTATCTCAACTAAAATGAGCTCCCTGTGTTAATAAAGACACAGCAGGAAGAAGTAAACTAATTAAAAATAGCGACGAGAAGGCTGACCTGAGGGTGGTGCTCTGCAGTTAAGGATGGGAGAACAGGGCTCTGGTGCCTGTGTCAGTTGACTTGTGAGCAGGCTGCCAGGGGAACACGTTAATCGTTAATCGTCATCATGCCCAGAGCAGAGAAGGGAGGAACAGACCTGACAGGCTCAAAACTGCATCAGCCTACCTCTGCCCATCTTGAAGGGGAGTGGCTGTAATGCTAGGCCTCAAGTAGGAGATACGGAGAGATGGATGGGGGTAAGATGTAGATGAAGCTATTCTAGCGCAAAGATGATTCTTTGCCAAAAGTTCAGAGGGGTTAGGAAAAAAGCAAGCTTCAGAACTACTCTTTGCAATTAAGAGGCCAAAGTTCAACTAAGAGCAAAATAAACCCGTGTGAAGACACATGGAAAGTGTGGGCGTGTGTGCTGAAAAATGCCTTTATTTTCATTCAGTGCTTCTACCTCCCAGACATTTGATCACAACAGCTGCGCTCATGCGAAAAAATTCTTAAAACATACCCAATATATATACAGATATAACTATGTATATATGTATATATATATTTATATATAAATTTTTATTTAAATAAAAAAGAAAGCTCGAATCCCAAGCCAATATGTGTATCAAATCCTTGACCAGCCAGGTCTGTAGGGCATAATCAAATTCAATGTGAAATAGTATATAAACGCGGTGCCTTGACTGGGCAAATTAAATAATTGCTACTCAAAAGAGTCTTCTGTTTGGACTCTCCTACTGGTAGGCAATAGTGGGACTGTATCCCCTCCCACCCCCCATTTTGTTTTATTTAACAGTATGATGAATGCAAAGCTTAGCCCAAGGTTTTGCTATGACCTCAGCAGGAGTTAAGGTTAAGGAAAAAACTAAAAACCAAGAAAATTTATTAACTCTTGCTTTACCCAACCAAAGCAATGCAGTAATTTATTACATAACCAGTGCTTTCTGATTTAGTAGTCTAACTCAGAAAGAAAAAATGAGAACAGGCCAAGAAGGTGCAGAGGGAGCAGCACTTCAAAAATCATTCTCCACAGAGTTCTTCATGTACAGGGTCTCACCCCAGTGCATGTCAAGAGTCAAAAAATGTGCAGCAAGAACAAAATCTCTTTCATTTCTTTAACTTTTAAAGAAAGTATCTAGAAAGGCTGACTGTTGTCTCCAACTTATGCTTACAAAGCATCTACTTGGACAAGCTGCACACCAGATCTATCAAACAAAATTTGCTTTTCAACACTTCTGACAGAATCTGTGCTGTACCTTTGAGGCAACTCTTCCCCTATGAAAGGGGAATCTAGGAAGGATTCACTGCAGCAGTGGCAGACAAGCTGCAGATTGATTCTCAGGTGTCAAATTCTAATACACACAGGTCTTAAACAGTGCCAACTTTAAAAAAGAAATAAAAATTTCCTTCTATTTTTTAAAGACTGCCATCATCGATGTGCACAAATCAAAGATGTTGGTCTCCTTCAGCTAAAGGACCTCATAACAGCATTACAATTAAATAACTAATGTATCACTGAACAAAAGCAAAAAAATCAAGTTAGAGAGGAAATTATTATGTTTTTAATAATAGTAATAAAAAAGTAGTAATGAAGAAAAATCAAAAGCAAGAGTTGCTGAGAAGGAGGCATATGTGAAAGCCTTGTTTCTAAAGGCAGAGAGGTCAGTAAGTCCCTCTGCATCAACCCAATTGTATGGACTTTGGGCGAGCTTGTTTTAAAAGCATAGTGAGAAGGGGAGGGGAGGAACCCCCAGCAAACACTGGATGAACTAGCATGGTTCACCAGCTCATCAGCAGTTAACAGCCTTCCAGCAACTGCATACCTTACGTTCCCTCTGCTTTGTATTTCTAGAGATTCTGCCTTGGTTACGGCTGCACAACCTTCACTGGTTAATTAAGCCTCTCTAGCACGAGCCCCAGATAACCATCTTCAGAAATACCCCATACTGTAGTAGATTGGTCTGCATTCTGCTGACCTCTTTAGTGACAACAGAAAATAAAAGGCCAGCAACTTTCAAGCAAAACAATGTATGCTGGACACTTACTTTTGTTATCCTCTGAAATTACCAAACCTGTTGCATTGCAAAGATTCTGTCACTTGTAGCTTAAACTTAAATAATTTAAGCAAGCAGTCGCGCACAAAGCTAGAGTTCAGTTCCTAGCCACAATGGGAGAAATTGTTTTAAGAATGAAGTTTGCTGCACATCTTTTGACGCTGCAATTCACAGCTACTCTCCAACCTTCATTCCTTGTTTACCCTTAAACTATACAAGGAAGCGGCCAGCTTGTTTCAGTCATTGAGAAATTAAGGTGAAAAGGAAATACGCACTGGGTATGTAATAATACCAAAATAAAAGAAAAAACCTACTTCATTAAGATCATACAATTAATCAAACAGAGTATATATATAATATCTTTTTTTTTAAGCCCTGGGATCCAAGGCGTCCAAAGTTATTAAAATAAAGTTCATTCACAGAACAAAAACAAATTTAATTTGAATCGCTTGCAGATACTGCTAATTTTCATTTTTTTAATTAAAAAATGCGTTAATGTGAACTATGTGCAGGATTTGTTTCTAGTAGTTGTGTTTGTGCACATTGCCTCTGGACCTGCTGCTCTTGCTACTGCTGTTGCTCCTGGGTTTCTCCAATCACCCCTGGAAAAAAAATGTGATGGAAGCTACCAACACCCCAGCAAAAGAAACTCTGGGGTACGCTGGCCTCACTTCATGGAGCAGACGTGGGCGTAACTCCTGCTCTCTGGGAGTCGTGGTTGTCTCCTCCTCCCTCAGGGTCCTCTGACAAGCTGAGAGAAGCTGTCTTGTTTGACAGGAGGCCAATGTTCTCTTGTGTCAAGGCTGATCCATTCGGAACATCACTGCTGAAAGAAAGTTTAGAAGAAAGAGGGTAAAGAGAAGTAACGACCGAGATTTTTCATTTATTTTAAGTAGAAGGACGTAAATATTTGTTGCCACAGCATCTCAATGAACAGTTGTGAACACATATAAACATGCAAAGACCTGCCGTGTACAATGAATAGGTTGTCTGGTATGCTGTACGTACTTACCAGAAAAAGAAGAACTAATAAAAGGGTAATTGAAAACCAACAAGACTATGAATTTTTATGGTTCTAGATTAGTTATATTTTGCAAAGTATTTCAGCATGTGCCATAACATGTACAGGATGAATCTGTACAATGCACACCTTCCAGAAGATGTAACTTATATGGATCATTTATCCTAATTCTAACGGTGCAGCACAGAACTCAAGGACAGGACTTCATCAGCAATTGAGAGTGACACATTTTTTGAATAAATACCCAGATTCCAAACTCCTCACGTGAAGTTATGTAAACTTGACTTAGTGAAACATATGCAGCATTTGAGCTTTTCTGCTCCAAGTATTAGTCTTAATACACACAGATGCTCGCAGCCATCTGAAAATGACTGCTGCGTAGATTTCCAGCATTCACAGCCAACATCTTATTTCAATCAACTATCAAATGTGAATTTAAATCAATCCCAGCATCTACACAGATAAAAATTGCTGCCTACATATAAAACTGAACTTAGTTGCAAAGTTACATACCTTCCTAGACAACATCCACATCACAAACCTTAGCAGGATGGAATAACTTTCCTCTCACATTTGGAACATTTCTTTTCTTTGAAACTAAAACGGTAGATAAAGATTTCTTTTATGGTTGTTGTTTATCTCCTGCTCCTTTCTACTAATCATCCAATATTGACTAGAGGGACTCTTCTGGTCTTACAAGCATTGCAATTCTTCTGTTGCATTAATCGACATACAATCTCATTCCACTCACTCATCATCTGAAATGGCCCTTAATTCATGCTTGCACTATAAAAACTTGGGTTTTATAATCTTTTTCTAGTAGATGCTTCCACATCAGAGACAAGGAGAAGCAAGGGGTATTATTCATACACCAGAAAGTGACCTTGACTAAGTCATTCTCCTGTTATACAAAGAAAGGTTGAAGACCCATGTTACCTGAATGTCAATGTGAGGTCCTCAGCCGGAACCTTGCTTTGTGGTTCTAATTGTCCATTTTCTGTCTGTTTAGTGGTGCCCAGTTTGTTTTTTATATCCAGTGATGACTGGCTCTCCTTTAAAAAAAAGGACAGAAGAAAAATTCTTTAACATTGTGTTAAAAGAATTTGAGACTTCATCCTTTGGGACCGATGATGAAGGCCTGTAAATTGGAGCCATACAGTGTAACCCACAAAAGCCATGAGACAAGAAAACAGACTCAGTAAGATATGCTCATCCTCTCAGGACACACTATTTCCCAAAAGGAAAGGATGATTCTTGTAACAACAAGCAAAGACCATAGACTGTAACAGCACACAGACTTCTGAACGCTAGCCTGTGCTTGCAGATGATGTTTTCTATGTCGAAGCAGTTTATAGAACTCATGGCACAGTGACCTTGGGTACTATCCATAGCTTTCAGCAGCGCCACACTTATTTTCAAATGGCGACAAAAAAACAGCAGAGTATTTTAAAGTGGCTAGAATTCAAATTCTTCATGAAGGAGAATCAAGAAACTTCTCAGGAGGTTTCGAAGAATAAAGAGGTGAAGAGGGAGATGGATGACTCCAGCTGTGGTCATCCAGCAGAGAGCATTTTTGCCAGGGTGAAAGGGCTGCAGCCAGCTACACAGCTCTCCACTCCACCTCTCTGCCTCCCACCCCCACAGCACTCACCATGCTCAGCTCACGGGTTCTCTTCCCAATTTCCCTTTCCACCTGGTGTAGCTCCAAGCTCAGCTGTTCACTTGAGATCATCCCAGACCACTTGGGAGGTGGGGGTGGGGGCTGTGGTTGGCCTGCCAGGGTAGTCGCCTCCCTCTGCAACAGCAGCCTGTTACTAACAGCCTAAATGCATAAAGCCAAGCACATACACAACTGAGCACACAACACACCAAGCACAGAAAGAGCTCTAGGCCATAATTCTAGAGTATTGCTTACTTGCAAAACCAAGGCCACCTCTCTCCTTGTTTAACAAGGTCCCAGTCGCAATCACTTCCAATGCAAGCTTAAACATTTTTTTACATGCAGGCAAGTCTCTTAACTTTTAAGCAAGCAGTGTTAAATACCTTTGACTGTAATAAGTTTGCATGGGTTTTCCCCACATAGCTCTGGTTCTCAAAACTAAGATTAAGCACCTGAATAAAACCACCACTCTTTTGTGAGCTATTTGTTGAACAAAAGAGAATAGCAGATAAGCAACTCTGCCGCTTTGTTTTACAGTGGCATAATTTATCAAATTCTACAGTACAGCCAGTATTATTACTAAACCATGTAAAGTGGACGTCAGTGTGTAGCTCCCTACTAGCCCAGATTAGGAAGCACAGGAACAGAGAGGGGCAAGTGACTACAGTCAGTCACAAGTTGCAAATTACTAGCAGCCAAGTAAAAGCAGTAACTATGTCAGCCACTCCAAAAATCTGCTAATACTTGGGAAAGTTCCACAAATGTGCGCTCTGCATTTAAACATGCTATCTACTACTCCACACAACCAAACATCTGGCTGGTCTACAAGTAGAAATGCTTATTCATTTGAGAAGAAAGCAAAATAATCCAGTTCTTCATGCTCAGGCTGAATTAAGTGATTGCTACCATCTTGCAACGAGTAAATCTGGAGTACCAGGTACCTCCTGGATTTCAAATATCTACTTGCAGCTTTGAACACAAGCGATAGGTTATTTTGAGTAATAACAGCTTTCAACTTATTAGTTCTGACAAATTCAAATTATGCCAAAAATCAAACCTCAAAACTCAACTACGCAGGATTTAACACTGACACAATCACAATAATAATGAGCAGGAGTGGCAGGCCACTTACGGTTTTGCAACTTTCCAATACTCTTCTATTATGGCAAAGGCAAACATGCAAGATTTAAAACATTTTCTCCTCTTGTTCCCAAACAAGAGCACAAGAACACAAGTTATGCTTCAAGTAACTAAGAAATGCATACTACTTGTAACTGCTGTGACTTAAAAACTGTGAGCTCTGACAATTAATCTGCAATAACCCTCCTCTATAACATACATTCTTAGGTAACGGTAGTTTCAGCAGAAGCCACTATCTACTACTTATAGCAATTCCTTCTGGGAAAAAATTAATACAAATAGTTGCTGAGGTACCTAGAAGAGTTTTCTGGTAAATATTTACTGATTTTCCCTAGGAGTGAAAAAAGAGTAACTAAAGCTTTGCTAAAACAAATCTTTCATTATGCCTTGACATTTCTCCTTATGTGTCTCACAAAATATAAACAAAGGTTACAGCTCATTAATTCTTTTACAAATGCAGACTCCCATCTTTCCTCATGTTGCAAGTAACTACATTTCTTTTAGGCAAGGAGACATAAAATATTAAATTTAATTCTTCAAACTAAATCTCTTCTATCTTTATCTTCTTGACTCTTGTGGCTTGCGTTATTTAGGAAGAAACAGGTAAAACACAAAGCCAAACATGAAACAGATGAAGATCATCACTTTCTGTACATAAAACCAGACATTTTCAATGGCAGTAAAGCCGAGAGGAATAGGTAACTAACACCACAAGTTTGCCTCTGAGTTAACAGATGAACAGAGAGGGGGAGTAAGTGAGAGAGAGAATGAAAGCAAACATGAATGAGCAGAGTGTAGGTTCAAGTACGGCGTTGATTTGCACGTGGTGTTTCTGCTGCTAAGCAGAGCGCTTTACACTTGTACCATAGCCCTGATGCCTAGCATCACAGAATTAAGTACTGTTATTGAATATCATTACAGTCAGAGAAAGATCATCAACATATGAAAAGCAGCTTTGCTAACTTCATCTCTCTCCATACCACCCCTCACCACTCTTCCAAATGTTGGTACCAACCTCTAGTCCTCGCATTTGTGTCTGCTGGCTAATCTGATGGTCTACTTGCTGCAGCTCCATGCGCAGCTGCTGCTCTCGTTCAGCTGAGGGCAACTGTTTCCCATGACCAGCCACATCTGACATGGACAGTCTCTCCCTTTGGGATCAGAAAAGCAAAAATAAGGGGATTTCCAAAAAGAGCTTTACTCAGCTGGCACAGAAAGAAATAGATAAAGAAAATTTAGAAAAAGGCAAAGGAAAAATAAAGCAATCCTACCTGTCATTGAAACGTCCCTGAGAAGGTATATTTTGATGAGGAGAATATGGAGAGCCTCCCCAGCCACCGTGAGTTCCGTAAGGACTGTAGTCTGCCAGTGAACAGAAAGAAAACCATGTTGCATTACTACAAAACAATCCTTTAAGTAGTTCAGCCAACACACAGAACTGGACAGAAATTAGAGCATAACCATGAAGGTCAGCCCTCTAAGAGTGAGGGAGTCTAATGTTGCTTCTGCTGAAATAAACACAAAAATACGCGTGACCAGCCTCATGTGCATAATGCACGACTCTTCCTGCACATCCAAGAAGATTTGCTACAGCCTTCCAGAGTCTGAGTTTGTGAAGGACTTCAGACACTTGGGGAAATGGGGATTCAAAAAAATTTAAAAAATTAGAGCCATTATTTTAATTACTGAAGTTCCTAAAAGACTCGAGAATCGATTGACAATTCTGAGATACCTAGTTAACACCAGTTTGCAGATTAAGCTTTCAGGGAAGCCACAGTTCTACCTGTGATAAAAACTAGAAAGTTATTGCCGGAATTAAGCAAATGAGGGGTTTTTTTGTTTCCAGCAGTTAACTCCTGAAAAAAAATCTACAGGGAAGTTTGGGGGAATATAATTAAGTCTTTTCTTAAGATTACTCAGTGCACTTCAAGGAGGAGACCATCTTTTGGAGTAAGATATACAGCCACACTATACATGTGATTAGAAAATAGATGTGTAGAAAATAAACCATTCCTACTTTATTTGCTTTGGCAAACAGTACACAACACAATGGTTGCATTAAGCTTGCAGCAGCAACTGCCCATAAAGTAGGAGTGCAGTACAGTACTTCGTTATGATGGTTTTGCATTATGTATTTGAGAAAGCAGTAACTTTCTGTATTCTACTACAATAGATTTAAAAGAAGCCTCACCTTAGAGGGACCAGCAGAACAAAGTAACTTTTTCCATACAGCAACAACAAATCACCAACAGATATACTACGTGTGCACAAACCTGTCCATGGAACAGGAAGCAGTGGCAGCCTTTTTCCTCAGGCTTTGCCATGTAACCCTAGAGTTATTTTTTGTGGCATAACATACGTCTTGTCTATATTTCTGAGACAAGAAACAAGTTTACAGGGGCTGTCTTCAACTCACACTACAATGTGGCACTAAGGAAAACAGCAACATCCAGCAAAATCCAAGAGCACACATCATACCTGAAATGATTGATTTGGTGGTAGCTCCCTGAACCGCCATGGCCTGCATGGGACCAGAATTCTGGTACATCGCTTTGGAAGTACGAGAAATAGCCCCAAATCTTGACACAGTTGGTCGGTCTCCAAATGGAATGAGGTCATCATCACCAGTCTCTGCTGCTCTTCGTTGCATATCTAATCGCTGGTCACGCATGGCTTTGCTATCTACATTCTAGACAACATAAGGAAAAGACACTCAAAAACTTATTCAGAAACGAACAAAACCAGATTTCTTTTACAACAAGCTGGTCCCAGTATAGCAAGTCTCTCTTGTATTCTCTATTCCCTTCATCCTTCAACTAGTCTTCCTATTCTTCAGTTTATAATTCCACTGTTAGAAAGGTCTAACTTAAAATGACCATTACTACCACCACTGTGAAATAGTTGCATAATTAATTGCAAATAAATCCACGGGAAGGGAGCAGCAGCAAGAGGAAATTAAGACAGAGAAAGTCTAATGGGACAGAAGGGGAAAAACCCTCTACGATAAAGTCAAACAAGAGATCAGTGGGCACCTCTGAGGACTACATACTTCTTCTAAAGTGCAAATTAAATTTCTCTGAAGCCCAGTATTAAGAACCATATAATCTAACAGCCTGCAGATGACTCAAAATGGGAATTATTCAGTACAGCACTTACTTGGACACGTCTAGTACATCTTTTCAGGAACGTTTTTCATCAAGCAGTAGTACTGCTTTGAACATCCCGGTTTCTAACTGAGCTTCAGACTCAAACACCTTAACAGGTCAGCACATGAACAGATAAAATGTTCTTTCTCTACTCAAAGAACTTTGCCAATCAGTCACAAAGGAAAAGATGTGCACAGAAAACAAGCTCGATTTAGCAGAATAAGTCAATTTGATTTAACTTATTTAGAAAAAAGAAACAAGAGATTATAATAAAGATTTTTAACAAAGCTTTTCCTGAGATAAAGTTAGGCCAGTCATGGGAGAAGTCACCTGGAGCGACTAACTTAAAAACACAAGTCAATGGGCTGTTTCCATAAATAAAAATAAGTTTTAAAAAAGCTTCCTCAACATAAAAAAAACCCCCAAAACAAGAATAGCCCCCCCCAATAATCATCGCATCCAGATAAACACAAAACAATAACAGAATTAACAGACTCAATTTTTAAAAAATGGGAAAAGCGTTTAGTTAAATGTGAAAGCTATCTGTTGGCTGCCAGAAAATGTAACGCAGTAAGAATTGCCAAAAATCGAGTTAAGACTTTGCTAGAAGTAGTAAAACTGTTTTGTGTACAGCAAAAAATCCAAGGTAAGCGGCACTACTACAAAAAGAGGACTGGCTAAAGGCTAAAAACTTTGGTGTGGTCTAAAATTAAAATAAAACTCTGCAAGCTTTCAGTGAGGTTAAGGATTGCTAGAAACAGACAAGATAACATAGTTAAGGCAGCAATAAAGGGGTGAAAATAGCAGTCACAACTGAGTTGGAAGCTAAACTCAAGAAATGTAAGATACTGAAACTGGAAGAGACATTAGACAGCATCTACTTTGGTATTCTGAAAAAATGACATTTTAATCTCGAGTCCACAGGATGTTAATACCAATTTTAATTTATTTCCATTTACTGAGTGGAGGGAAAGAACACAGTAAAGTTGCAATGCCATCTGCATAAATCCAGCATTATGCACTCTCAGATGATACTATTATTATCCTTGAAAAAAGGAATCTCTTATGAACAATAAAAAAAGGAACAATTAATTCACTTGCCACCTGCAGTGAAGGTCTCCTGAGATTTTTTTCCTGTGAGGAGACAAAAACTGAAGAGCAGCAGAGATCCTATTGTCTTATCTGGAAACTAGCTCTGGGGCAGAACACTTTGTTTAGCAATGAATAAGGAAGCTGCTTCTCCAGAGCCCTATTACTTCTCTTAATTGAGTATCAGTTTGTTTGCACAGTTTTCTAGCAGCAGGGATGAAAGACATGAGCTATTTGCTGGTTCCTGAACGCTGCCACTTGGACAGCAATAAGCCATTTCTGAGTAATCTCAGTACTACCCCAGGTCAAACATGACAGCGCTATGACTCAAGGCAAACATACCGTGCAGGACAGAGAGCAAAAGGACATGTAAAAAACCCAAAGCTGCAGATGAAATGCCTTTTATTGCTCCGCTTTTTCTGGGAGAAAGCCTCCTTTTTGTTCCCACTTAACAGTGCCTTTGGTCTTACTGGAAAGCAATTCAGTAGGCAGGAACCAGACACATTTAATTCCAGTGAGGCAGAGAGGAAACAGGGAAGCATGCTTGTGTGTAAAGAGAAAAAACCGCACAGAAAAATGTTATGATTTAGGTAAGTGGTTGCAACAGGTGAGCACCTGTCCACAGAAGAATAAATTCTGGACAGAAATTTCTTCCCCCTCCCCTTATTGGCCAAAGAAAGGTGACAGTGACAATACATAAACAAAAGATAAAATACTTTTGCAAATGGGAGGTGAAGGAGAAAACCAGATGCATCTCTAAAATAGTCCCTCAGACTAAACAGTCCTTTCTCTTGAAGACTTGAATGTCTTCCTACTTGCACGGGCTACCAGCATACTTCTTGCTGTCAAGTGATGCTTAGAAGTTAGGAAGAAACAGTATAGTGGTGGTATTTCAGAATCCTGTCTCTTTTCTTCTACATACATAACTCCCAATAATGACACCCTAGCAGCCCCTTCTTTTTGCAAAACTGACCTAGCAAAAATGCAGCAGCACAAAATAAGATCAGTCAGACGCCCACAGCTTCAGTGAAGGATTGAATAAACACAGCATAGAGTTAGACGTTGCCCTCAAGAAGAATCAGCCTAGCATTATGTTATGACTATGCTTCTCTCAAAAAGCTTCATGCAAGTTTTGGGCATTCTTGTGGTCACAAATCACAGAATCCTTCAAGTAAAAACTTAAAACACTGTTAACAGCAGTCATGATCACCTCAAAAGGATTAATAGCACAAAGTTCAGTTACAGCATCTCCTTCTGACTGAAAGTAGTACAGGGAGCAACAGACAGACATGTTTAATGAACAAGCTGCCAGCAGAGTCATTCATTTTTGGATTTCAAGTAAGTGTAAAGAATCACAGCAAAAATATCTCTTGCTATCCACAGCTTTAGCACAAAGCTGTTAGCCTGCATCTACACCCAGAGTTTCAAACCAGCTACACAGACGTAGGACCGTTCAAAACTGAAAATAAAGCACTCTGCACACTTGCAAATGCATTCTTTGAATGCAACGCACTTTTGAGCTTAAATAGAAGCACTGCCATATTCCTGGAAAGCACATCAGAGTCCTTCCCAACCCACAGAAGCATCAACTTCTCTTCCGAGTTCCCCTAATCCCTACATACCGCCATCTCCACACTCCTTGCTGCCACAACATCTTTGGGTTTTGCATCTTTGGTTCCAATGTAGGAGCCGATGGTGTCACAGGACCAGGGAGAGTACTGGCTGTAGTCATTTCCTTTGTATTTCCCAGCTACCTTCAGGTCTTCATCCAAGTACTGTACAAAAACAAAAATCTGGTTCTGTAAGCGAAGGGAAGAAGCAGCTTCACAGCTACCACTACTTAGTTCAACAGCAGTGAACTTGAAGAAAAACACCACGAGGATTATTTTTTTATCGGATACATCACTTGGAATTGGGCCACGGCAAGCATGAAATGTGTAAAATTCTGATCCCCTGGCTACACTCCCAGTGCTGACTGTTCACTTGGCCAGTATGAAAGTGATATTTTGACCTTGGTTAAAAAAAATAAACCTCTATCAAGCTGTTACTTAACTCTAAACATGTCAGGAGCAAATGAAGCAAAGTCCAATGACCATGAAGACTGACTACTTCAATTAATAATGGCTCAAAACTATTTATCTTGGTTGCCCCAAAAGCAGATAGCTTAGGATCAGTGGTAGATCAGAGAATCAACAGCCAGTCAGGATACTGGAGGCTGCACCAAAAGGGCTTCCCACCTGGAGCACAAAATCAACCCCTGCAACACTTGCCAACACTGTACTGTTCTAATATTCTTGTTGTCTACACCTATCAGCACACACAAACTCCAAAATATTTTCTAAACATGACAGTAAGTCACATTTTTGTCAAAATATGCTTACCTCCTCTGAATGAAAAGGATGAGGCAGGGTTGGTGATGGTGCAAAAGGAGGTGGAGAAATCACCTTCCTCTCTTCTAGCTGGGCCATGATCTCTTTCCTTCGACGGTGAAGTTCATCCAGGCTAGGATGAGGCTGAAATGAAGACAGCAATGTTACGCATCTTCTGAAGCATTAATGGACAGAATTAGTAATTTCAAAAATGTTGTTTACTCAAACAAAATATAGCAATCATATACTGTGTGACAAGGAAAATGCAGTGAATACTCAGTATCATTACAACAATAAGTCATGATCAATTTCTTAAAGTGTACCTGTAAACTTTCATGTTTAATATAGGATATACATGTTCCCAGACTAGCCAGAGTGTTAGTTCAATGCACCCCAAAGGCAGGGAATGTTATTTGCCTAAAACTGATTAGATCCTCAACTAACACAGTGTTTCCAACTTTAAAACTACTAATCTTTTAACTCGCAGATAGCTTAACATGATTCTGTGTTCCAACTTGGCAAAGTTTCCACTGGAACGTTTATCAATGTGGCAAATCCCCATTTCAGTCATATGGGGTAAGTGGTAGAACTCTACATATCATGACCTAGTCACAGTTCTTTTGCATTTATTATTAATTTTGCAATAGAATTAAATATCCCACAAATGTGTCAAACACAAAACTGATAAATCTATACGCTATGCTAAAAATGCTTCCTGGACTCAGCAATACAATTCAGAACCTTTAATCTGAATGACAGCTACGTAAGTCCAACTACTCTATAGGACTCAATTCCAGCTGGTGATTTACCAAAACAACCTTGTATACTTCTCTTAGAAGACTCTCCAGTTAGCAATCTTAAAGTAGAGAAAATTTGGAAGAGCAGAATTTTTAGTTCCTTTATCAAGGGATGTATGTTTCCATATTTATTTACTTAGGCACAGAGATGGTCAGTCACAGATGGGCAGTACAAGAACACACACATAACCATTTGCACACACTGTTATTTAATCTGTGCTAGACAGACAGTGGTCCTCTCCGGCCTAATCTTTACTGGAGAAGTTGGGGCCATATGAGACTTCCAAAATTAATTACAATGCTTTTCTACTTTGAGCACTAAGTATCAGTCTGCTCTTTTACATATTAACATCATTACAATTGCAGAGCTGACCAGTAACTAAACTGCCTTCCAGTTTTTGAACAGCTTCGTCAAATGTATCTCTTCTTAAAGTTCAAACTTCTAATTCCTCACAAAAAACGTCACCTTACTGCAAAAAAAAGTCAACTTCTCAAGTAGTTTATATTTTCTCTCTCAAACAACTACGAAAATGCATATAAAAACCATACCCTGTGGCATGAAGGTCTAATCTGACTGAGATGTGGAGCCACTGGGCAATAACCCTCTGTTTGCTGGTATCTGTCTCTGGATTCAGGTACGTAGGAAGGTACAGCTGCTTGTGGAATTTCAATGGGTACTGGGCTTCCTCGGACAATCTCCTCTCGCTGATACGGCTGGACAGGGGGATATACGCGACGGCTGTCGTAGTGTGGTGGGTATATGGGTTGTCCCATGGGAGGATACTGCTGGGGTTGCGTGTACTGTGGGCTCACCACACGATCCTGAAGGTAGGGTGGGTAATGGTCTAAATAAGGGGGACCAGGTTCAGGAGCTGATGGAGGAGGTCGGACAAAGCGAGACATGGACTGAGGAGGATAGTAAACTCCTGAAACAAGGAAAGAGGAAAAAAAAAACAAATAAAATACAGAAAGTGATTATCACAACTGTTCACAAAACCAAATTGTTTCAACTAGCCCAGTCTACAAGTATCGTGAAAAGAAAGGTATAAATTAACTCACGTTTGTTGTTTGCCCCCACTGTCTAACCAATATTTCTACTCAAAAATTAACCACAGGAAAGCTTGAAGAAGCAAAAGTTAATCCAAAGCTCAAGTGACACAGTTTAATTATCTAAATAAGATACCAGCAAGGTGTAAAGGTTACAGTAGCTGGAGAAGAGGTGGTGAGACTGAGCCCACCACCCTTACCCCAGAAGTCCTGCTAGCATACCAAATAGAAATAATTCACTAGAATGTCTCTGCAGATTAATATGAATGCTTTTAGCTAGTCAAGACCTAAAAAGTAAACTGAATTTTAGCTGTGTGGATAAAAGTGTACACGCTAATCTTCAATTTGTCCCAACATACCGGAGCCACTGCCTGCGTAAAGAAACTTGGATTAATTAGAATTTAAAGATATCTAAAGACGTGTTCTACCTCTTGGACAGCAGAAGGAAATTTCAGTACTGTGCATCACCAAAGACTATTAAGAACACACCTCTTAGTCACGTGAAGATTTTAGTAACCTATTTGGGATCTCTGGATAATTTAAAAATATGCATGAATATGTGCACATTAACAATGTGCGCATCAAATTTTGTAGACAACTCAGACCTTCATTTGCACACAATAATCAAATGTAAGCTTTTTTTCCCTCCCTTCAAAATGCTCTGCAACTTTTTCAAAACTGGTTCTCCCCCCCTTTCCTTTCTATGCCTTTTTCTTCTTCTTTCTACTTCTTTCAGTCTTTCATTCCTCATTTTACTTTCATATTCACATTATGTCATCTCTCTCTCCAAACTTATGTTGCATAAGAATCATTCCCTGTCTTTATATATAGCCATACCTTTTCTTTTCAATCCCCTTCAACATGGTCTTTCTCCACTTGGTCTCTTTATACTCAGAACTTTTCCTCCTATTTCCTTTTTTATGGTGTTTTCTTTTTTGTGCGCAGCCCTTCTCTAATTTCACTTGTCTCTACTTATCACACGCATGTGCAGACATTTCTGAAACACCCATACACTTTTCATTGAGGACGTAAGTGCTTTCACCCCTCAAACATAAACCCCTCTGCTGGTTAAACTTTATTTCCATTTTCCCTGCATCAAACTGAATTAAAGTTTACCATATTAGATCCCTTATCTAGTGGAGCTGGGAAGAACTGAAGAAATCTACTACACTGGATGGGTACAAACCTCTGTTTTCACTTGCATTAAAATCCTCAGTCAAGACATAAAAAGCCTGGCCACTTCCATTCTATTAATCCATCACTGCACTAGTGCCTGTAGTCCACATGATATGCAAGACAACTCCAATTTAAGAGCTTAAGTAAACACTAGAGTGAGAAGGAAGAACAAAATCAGTATGAAGATGAAAGATAGAGAGCTTGGTCTGAAACTTACCTTGTTGGTAGGGTGCTGGTTCAAATGGTGGGGCAGCTCCTCGAGGATCTTGATAAAACATATCTGCTTGCTGAGTATTATACAATTGAGACCCTCGTGGTACCATTTGCAACTGCTTGGTGACAGACACTGAAGGCAGATCTGTTGGTGCCCGAGCGGGCACAGGATGAGGGTTCACTGGTAAGGCAGAAATAGAGCTCTTGGGCACAGATTCCAATCTAAAAAGTAGAAAGATGGTACTGCTCATTAAGGCCTTGATATAGCACACTGTACTTTAAAACACTGCTCTTTGTCTATATTCCACCTTCTGAAGGCTTTTATCACCTTCTCCAATTAAAATATAAGAAAACAGGGAAGAAAAGCAGTTTGGAGTTTTAGCTTTAGTTTAATCTACTGTTTAATCACTTCAAAACAAAACAAAAAACCCCAAAACAACCTGTCCTGTTTCTTTTCTAGAGAATGGGTTTACTTTGTTTCTACTGCATATTTACACACATCACATTTTGAGCAACAGTTAGGAAGACCCGTACAAGTCAGGAGGGGATCCAGGGGCACTGCTGCTCAGATGGTCCATCTTCCCTGGCTTCAGAGCAGTTTCATAACCGGAGTCTGTCCCTCGAGAAATAAGTTGCGTCACCGTGCTGCCTGTTGACACAATTCCATTTGGCAGAGCGGAAGTTTTCCTATTGGGCAAGTCCACTCCCCCTTCCTCCGAGAGGATAGCTCCTGAAGGTAGGCCCACCTCATTCAGCTGGCCCAGGGAGGCACTCAGGGGTCTTCTGGGAACCAGACGCTTGTTCATTTTACGGAATCTTCAGAAAAAAGAAACCACACATCAAAAATTGAAAGAAAAAAAATAAATAAAAGAAGTTGCATTTTCAAGATTTTTCAAACACAGATGTTACCAAAAGCTTCAACTTTGAATTCAAGTTTCCAAAGGGGTTGTGAGAAATTTATTATGAATATCTGTTAAGACTACAGCTTCACTGCTATTTGAACTGTTACTAGCAGCTCAGAAGAACAAGGGTGGATTTTTAATGACAAGTACACCAAGAATTCATAGCTAAACTTCACACGGCAAGTTTAGAAGTCTTATATCCTGTACATATATGCATTTTTAACTGTACAGAAGAAAACCACAACCAAACATCACACAAAAACACTACCTATAGTAACAGCAGCTTGAGAATAAAAACCAGACTATTCAAGTCTATTTTATTCAGAGAAGAAACTAATAGCAGAAAATTAAAGTGATACAAGATGAACAGATTCCCTTTTCCATCATTTGTCCAACAATAAGCCAAGCCAATCCTTTACTGTCACGAGAATCATAGAATACTCTGGGTTGGAAGGGACCTTTAAAAGGCCATCTAGTCCAATCCCCCTGCAATAAGCAGGGACTTCAACTAGATCAGGTTGCTCAGAGCCCCATCCATAGCTGTGATAGCTTTAAAACGCAGTTAAGATTTATGTTACTATACCAATACGTAGCTTACGCTGTTTGCAATGTTTGATAAATCAAGTGACTGCAGAGATAAAAACTTCATGAACACACTGTAATTCCAAAAATGTAACCGCTTCTGGTAAGTCTGAACAAACATGAGCCTCGTAATGAACTGTTCCACAAAAATCAGGAGACTGATGGTACTGGAGTTGAAGGTCCTCCACTAAACATCCTGCCATAGGATGTTAGATACCAGAATGCAAGTAGAAGGGCGTATTTGTAGGCCTGAGTGTTCCTGCTGTTTATATTGCAGAACAAGAGGCCATTTGCTATGCAAGAAGGTTTCAACAGGGTTGAAGCCAACACTTTCATATCATATCAAACAAGCAAAGTCAGACGGTAACAGACTAGGAAGGTTCACACATTCTTGTAGAAAATAAAAAAGGGGGCAGTTATAACCTATTATTTAATCTTCAGATAATCTTTATGTTTGCCCACGTGCACAGCATTAACAGCAATGTAACAGGGGAAAAAAGATTTTTTGTTGCTGTGGGTTTTTGATGTTGTGGTCGTTTTGTTTTTCAGACGTGCAAAGTGTAATATTGCTACATACACTTGACCTGTTCATCGGTAAGAGTTCATTGATTATCTTCTAGCCATGTTCCTAACTCTTCATCATCACCCAGTGTCCTGGCTGGATTAATCTTTACCCACATAATCAAACTATAAATTCAAGCTACATATTATTGATGGTGGGCATCATTCAGAATGCATTAAAAGGGAATAAACAAACCAGGCTACCACCACAGTAGAAGCATCTCAGTAGGGACAGACTACAACTTTCTAAACCTATGCTGCTCAGAAGTCATTCTGGCATCTCATGTCAGCTATGCAAGTCAGCTATACACATGGAGGCAGGCTGAACTTACTGCTTTACTTTGGCGTCCTGTTCAATATCCAAAACAGCTTCTCCCTGCAAAGCACTAGCAGGACGTCGGGAAACCACTGCCATGATTTCCCTGCCAATTACTTCTAGACATCTGCCTGCCATCAGGTCTCTTAGAGATGCAGTGTCTGATGGCTCCTGACTCTCAAGGCTTGCACACAAACTGAAGATGAGGAGGGACTGGCCATCCCTGCCCATTCATTTAGAACACAACAGCACGCTCAAGACAGACAGGCACAGAAGTACAGACAACCATCCAACCAAAGGTGACAGGAAGAGTTTATATAGCACCCTCCACGATAAAACACTGGGAAAGAATAAAAGCTGCGCAGTGTTGTCCTCTGGATTTTTTCTGAACAGTTTTATGAATCTTTGTTGCAGTCTGCACACATGCAAGACAAAAATAATGCTTGCCTACGCACACTAGGTCTTTGTCCCTTGCCGAGAGGGGAATCATCTGTTGTTTAACCAAGTCTAGATTATGATTTGCTAAGGCATTACCACATACCTCCCCATAACCTTCCTGCAAACTTTAAGCTATACATAGAGATACAGGAACTACATAGCAACAGCAATGCATATTATTCATAGTAAACATTTTTAAAAGGAGGAACACAAATGGAATATCTACTCAAAGGAATGAAGCAAGGATAAAAGGTACAAGGAAGAATTAGAACTCAAAGTTCCTCAACTGCCTACAGAAACTGCTGCAACCTGAAATAGAACAAGCATTCACTTCACTTCACCCCACAATAACATTATTACTAAGGCATACAAACCAGTCTGGATAAAATACGCCTCTTCCACCTACAAAGCTGACAAATTGTCCTTGATACACACAACTAATTCAGAGAGTTGGCAGTTGCTAATACTGACTTACCACCTTCATTAACCACCCAAACCAGCACTACCAATCTCCATTTTCTTAACACTGTGACAAATGGGGGAAAACCCCAACTGTTTCTGCAGAACTTAACTATCAAAGTCCTATTCTCTGTTCATTTGAATAACTGCCTTTGTCATTCTAACGCCACATGCTTCACTCTTTTTTCTTCCTGTTTTGCCAATGCACTGCATGCTGGCTGGACAGCCAATGAAGCATATTAATGCTTCACGTTTCGGATTTTTAAGGAAAAAAAACACTGCATACCATTTCCAAATCTTTGGAGTTTTCTTCTGATTAAAAAAAAAAAAAGCCTTTTCTTTAAAGAAGTGAATGATTTTAGCCCAAAAGGTAAGTAAGAAGTTATATACGCTGCATAAAATACATTGTATTTATTTCTTTTAACTCTTAAATAATCCATTTTACTTCAAAAAACAGTAAACCAACCTTCAGAACAGCAGCAGTTTGCTCTAGGATAACTGGGTGCCCCCTCTACATCTATAATGAAGGTAACTTATTTGCAACAGACTTCATATGACCACCATTTTTTAACTCTTGAACAATAACTACTTTTACGTTTCTGTATCTGCAATTTGTCAAAGAATTTCAAAGAATAACCGTAGCAGAAAGAAAACTTGCAATGCTCATTTTTAGTTCTCTGGATAGCCCTAGCAGTGCAGAATAACTAGAGAACCCCTACATCTGGAAAACTTCCAGCAACCTACTTTTCATACCTGAATATAAAGGCAAGATGAGAAATACACGCAAATAAACCACCATAACGCATGCAGTCAATCAGCATGTTTAGTCACACTTAAGAAACAAGAAAATCGACCCACCTCAAAAATATCAAATAACAGTTGTGTAAACAAACTTTGAGCTGCATTACTGCTGAACAAAGCAAAACATCCTACATTTAAGAACAGTTCTAAAATCTAAGAGATGACTGTTACAAGGTTTTCAAAATGTTTCTTGCTAATGTAACAGACAAGTTATGCTGCCTCTCCCCATTCCTAGATATGATAAATAACTTAGGGGTAAGATGAAACAAAGATTGGACTGATTTCTACCGTAAGAGGTACACTTACTTTTCTAGCTCCTCCTGTGAATGTGCAAAGGTGCAGCTGGCCCCTCGGGGGCATCCTCCTCTCTGTTTCATGTCTCGGCACATGTATGTCTTGTACTTGCTGTGCTGAGGCGGCTGACAAGGTTAAAGAAAACAGGTGAGATACCCGAATATAAGTGCACCTAACAAAGAGTTGAACATATCCTCTTACTAAAGGCCTGATGTTTGACTGTTGAGAATTCCTTCAATTTAAGTGTTCCAGAAGTACCTAATGTGAAATAAATGACTAGAGAAGTATTCGTGGTTTGGTCGTTCAACAGAACTAATAGATTCAAGAGTAGGTATTTTGACAACTAAGTCGCTACTGGGTTTTTAAAACATTTATTCAAATTCCTTACTGAAGCTTGATTGGAACACAGCTGTCAGGAAACAGTTAAATGGACAAAGCTGACATAGGCTGAAAAAAACAACCATGCTTAATCAGAAATTGCCAAATATTCACCAAGCTTTGTGGCAGCTTGAAAATAAATACAACCTAGTCAGTACTTTTCCCTTGCTTTCTGTTAGCTCAAAATGGCACTTGAGTATCCCTTTGATCTCCGAGAGAGTTATTTTTCATCAAGTTCCCTTTTACTCCCCTTTGGACTAAAAATCTCTTTGCTATCTACGATAATTATTTCCATCAATGGTTGAGGATGCAATCTTACTCCTACACAGATCAGCGGGGTATGGGCTGTCTTCTGTATTTTTCTTACTTAAGTTTCCCAAGAAACAACTTACTGCAGTCTTGCTGTCTGCATGTACGCCCATTTGCCAGTCTCTGTAAATATACTGACAGAAGGCCAGAGGTGGTCTCAAAGACATTTAAGTTCCTACAGTTTTTACGGCAGAATTAAATCAGAGGCAGAAATATCCTATCAGAGTTCCCACTGAGGGAAAGATCTGTAAAAGTAAACCCTTGCTTTCTGAGAAACTCAGCCAAAAGATGTAAATCCATAAGAAGCCATCTGCAAACTGATTATTTTTTTTTTTTTTCTGGCCATCTACTGTAGTGAAAACAGGATTTAGGCAGGGTGTACATAAGCTGCACAGCCCTCTACTGGTCACTGCTGCCAGCCAGCAAAACTCTGCCCAATACTCAGCAGTTGTTCCCTTTCCCACTTGGGAGGCTTTAGGTTCCCTTCCAAGCAGCAGAGCATATACCAGGTCCAGGCAATGTTCTTGCCAGAACAAACCCTCTCACTGTTTTTCCTACCCCAATTTCCACTTGTGTATTCCTACTGCTTTTCCTTTTGCTGGTAACACTGCTCATTAGGCACCCCAGTGAATGCAAAAATGTAAAACAACAGAAATAATTCACTCTAATTTTGCCTTTTTTTTTTTCTTTTTTTTTTTTTGGCAGAGAGAATCTTTCTACTAGTTCAGCTCCCTGAACCAGCTCTCCAAGAGAATGAGTGCCAAAGCGAGGGAGGGAGTGGGAATGCATGACAGGCAGTTCTGTCTTTCAGCACCAGCAAGCATTTATATCAACTTAACTATACAATGAAATGAGATCAAAGGAACATGTGATAAGATAACTATGAGATAAGTTAGTATATATATTTAGCAACACCATTTCATTCCTGAAACAAAAAGTTTTGTTTCAGGACCTTGGATGATACCTTTATATGAAGTCTTCCCAAGCTTTAAACTTCACAGACCATTAAACACAGCTATAAGAATAATTTCATCAACACAGAGATATCTGACTGAAATGTGTCAAATATTTCCCAGGAAAATTCCCACAGATAATATTGCTAGGCACTCCGGCTTCTCTTCCCCACCCTCTAGTCATGAGGGATGTTTATTCATTTCCCTAAGCTTGCAGCTGGATCAAACTGTTTTCTTTTCATCCTAGTGAGCTGTGCGACAGATACTGGGTGGGTCTGTGTGTGTGTTATGTTTTTTCCTTTCTTCTTTTTTGATAAGTATGACACAGCAGTGATATTTTAAATCAACTCCTCAAACCAAACCTCTACAGATGGCATTAGTAAACTTCTACTATTGGATATAGCCAGTAAAATTTAGGGATAAGCATTTCCTAAATAATTTAGCTTTTACCTGTTGCTGATCTGTTCCTTTCTTGCTGTGATTCTGGATATAGTCAACTAAGCCATGCACCACAGTCCTCACAGCAACTAGTCCATTTTCCAGTTGTTCCCATGTCGGAGGTGGAGCATCTATTGCATTGACAGCAAATAGAGAAAGTAAAAACAAAAAGAAAAGTCAAAAGGGTTTTCCAAAACCAGGTACAAAGACACCATCAGTATCACAAAAATTCACTAGACAACCAAAAAGATTTTACCGGGAATGTGTGTCATTAGACAACAAGCATTCAGCACCTTAATTCAGGGATATGTACCACTTAAAGAATAAAGCTACCTAAAGACTCAAGATTGGGCCACATACAAGATATCGAATGAGCCAGCAAGACTATTATTAGCATGTCAAATTATTTCCTTTGGGCTGAAAATCCCTCTTCGCACTCAGACTCCTGTAGGTAATACCATTCTGAACAAATACCACCCTTGCTGGCCTAGATCACGCTGGCACAGTCACTGAATAGCACCAGAAATTGATGCCTCACATGGAAAAACATCACAAGGCAAATCTATGCATCAAACCACCATCTAAGATACAGCAATGTGAATAACCTGTGAAGTCTTAATTCTATAGGGGCACTTGCTCTTTCTAGCCAATTTCCTTTTCGAATCATTTAATCTGTTCCAGCAGATAACACTCCCATCACGTGGCTACACACTCTGCTGCAAAACGCAGGACTTCAAAGTGCTTCACTAAGCGTCTTTCAAGATCTTTAGCATAATTACATTCTATTCCACTCAAGGATTAAATTCTTCCAGATGCATTTCAACATACCTATAGAACACTAGGGAAGCAACTCAACAGTGCAGTAGAGAAATATCAAGATCAGACTCATCTACTGAAACGGAGTGATTCCCCCTTCTGTATCAGTCTTTGACTAACAAATTTGCAGTACACACACAGTTTTGTCCCTGACTTATTACAGTATGAAAGATTTGGGAAGAAAGCACTGCGTCTCCTTTAACTGTAAAGTACAACTGGCCCTCATTTGAAAGGTAACTTAGTTTCTGTTTGTTTAAACAAAGTAAGAACTACAACTTTTCATCTCCTGAAGTCCTAGTTTAGGCCTCCACACTATTTTGATATTAATACTGATTTTACAAATATTAACAGGTATAAAATAAAACTTCAGCCACAGCACTCTCTCAGGGTGGTCCATCCTCACAGTGATGTTGACTTTTTCAATAATTTCCATCTTTTTCTTCTCTGTCAACAGCTTAGATTTTCTTTCCCAGTTATACTCTTTCCAACTAACTCCTCCTTCCCAGACTGTCTTTCACACCTTTGCAGAATTACACAGGACCAAGAAAAACACTGAATTCCCTAGAATAACAAATTTTTCTTGTCTAGACTTATTTTTGCCCAGCTTCTGTCTATTCAATCTATCAAAATTCTGTGTTTTGGATTCCAAAGTAGAAGATGCCTTATGATTTTAAGATGCCTCTAAGACAGTCTTCTGAGTGCAATGTCTGCAGGCTAGGGACCTCAGATCAAAAACTAATACACAGAATTTCTAGAACAAAGAAAAAGACATAAAATTGTTAGATTAGTTAGTGGAAGTCCTCAATCTGATAAGTGTTTTCCTGAACAATTCCCCTCGTTTGTAAACAAATTTGCTCTGGTAAAGAACTGGAGAGAAAATATATCTCAGAGTGACAGCTAAGGCTCTGCATTAAGCACAGTGGTTCTATCAATCTTCCTGTTGCTTTGCAAATCTGTTTTTAAATAGCAGCATGTGTACTAAAAAAAAGGAAAAGGAGGAAGCTAAGACTGCTGCCACTCCCCCCAGTTAACATTGCCCAATATCAAGTACATAGCATATAACCTCACAGTATTATATGTACTCAACATCCACATCCATTCACCTAGTGCTGTCAAACAAGGAAGCTCTCTCCGGAGAAGTGGTGAAATTATTCCTACCGTACTTTTGAATCTATTTTAGCTTCAGAATATTTCAGTTCCTCACACAGATACTGCTGTTCCCAGGCTGGTTATGAATAACACTCAAGAATCTTAAGTTTATGAGTTGGGGGATGTTCCCTTCCACTTGTTGAACAGCTTTCGATCCTTCAATAGTTTTAAGCTCCTGTTGCTAAACCGCAAGTTAAGGGTTTTAACATCTAGAATTACCTGGACTGGGATCAATATTTGCCAGGAGCTCTAGATGAGGTCGAAGACGATTCAGGTTAGCTGGATCTCCAGTCCTCTGAAGAGCAATAGTTAATTCCTGAACACTCTGTGCAAATGAGGCTGGGGTCTGCAACTTAAAAAAATTATGATAATTAACTTTCTACAGGCAAAGCAATCCTCATGGTTTCTGAAGGCTGCTCCAGAAGCTCACAAGAGCTGTCTTTCAAAATTGGAGCAATATGTTTTTCACACAAGCCCATTTCAGCACCTTCTATTAAATTCCTTCTCCAGCATTAGGAATGCACAATTCTTTGACATTGCAGGTTAAAACATCTCTAAATAGACAAAACGAAGGCTGGCATTATTTCTAGCAATGCAATCTATTTCTTTTCTGTGCTGTGCTGGCACCCAGAAAAAAAATACAGAATATTAGAAACCATTTAATTTAGACTTCTGAAGTGTCTAGTACTCTAATCCCTGAACCAACAGGTTTGCACCCTGCTTTAAACCAAGTACAGCAGACAAAGAACAAGACAGCTGAAGGACAAAGTTAGCAACTTTCTGTTTACTAACATCACACAATTTAAATATTTAAAATCTTTTAATTCCACCTAGGTCCTTCAGGGGATGTCTGGCACAGCACCTGAAAAGGTGGGCAAATGCACAAATACACAGCAAACCAATCTTGAAGCTAATCTTCCTGCATGGCAGCCAAAGCAGTTGTTTCAAAGCTTTTGTAAAGATTCAAAAAACCCACCTAATTTAGGCACTCACATGTGAGTCCCCTGATTTAAAAGCCCATTTATCCTGTGTCCCCTCTAAACAAAAGGGGACCTGGGCATTTCCAGACATCAATTCATTTTATTTAAGAAATATGCTTCCGCCCCTCTTACTACTTCAGGTATAGACTAGGGGACTGATTTTCTTTCAACATACACACTAGCTTCCTGCATGGAAACATGAACCGTTAACCTCTTTTTACTACACTGGCAGTTATCAGCTGTTCAGAAAGGACACATCCCAACTGTGCAGCTAACCTTTGTGGCTTGCCATCTGCAGAAAGAGGTAAAGTAGAAAGAGATGGCAGGATGGCAGAGGGAACAAGATTCATTAGGTTACAAATGTACACTCTGATTATTTAGGCCATAATGGGTTTCGAAATAACAGGGCAAATGATTAATTAGTAACATGAGTACACACCGGCACAATTTGTAGACTCATGTTACGAGCATTTATAACTACTACAGTTGCAAACAAGATAGACTGGGCTGATTTTAGGTGGCTTTACCTTGTCAATGATAGACTGCATGTGGGATTTGTGAGATTGGTCTCCGTATAACAGTGAGGACCACTGATCTGGTGCAATGCGTAAACCTGCTTCCATAGCTATTTGAACTATCTGGGAATCATGTTCCCTTCTCAGAGCTTCGTAAGTCCGAAATTCCTCCTTCAGCTGCATCAGGGAGGAATCTTCATCTCGCTTTGTCACCTAGTGGGGAGAAATGAGCCAAATACAATTAAGCAGGATAAGACAGAGATTATGTAAAGTCCAATGCAAGTGCAACCTTCAGTCAGCAACTAAGTTCTTCCTCCCAAAGTAAACTGAACTATGACACTATGCAGTGAACACTAGCCCTACTAAAATAACACACTCTTCATAAAGTGGAACCTCTATGAAATGGATACCAAACATCACCTATTCAGACTCTAACCCAGATACTGGTGGAAGTGTCACACTTCCTAAGCGACTTTACAACATCCACACCTTATTTCTCTAATCAACGTATTTTATTTGTATTGCAGAATTTCGTTTGAGGGTACAATTGGCACCAACAAAGCATTCTTCTCCTCATTTAGCAAAAGTGAATGACATTTAAGTTGAGCACCTAGGAATGGATCTTTAAATGCTGTAAAGTACAATAAGCAGCTTAAGTTCTCTTTATATAACTCTGATCTCATATTTCTTTGTTTCTAACCACACCACCATGCAATTAACAGAACTGGGGATTTTCCAGCTTTAAGCCTCTTCTAAGGAGATAAGTTATACTGACTTACTGGTTTTGCTACTGTGCATCTATTAAACCCGGACAGAGTAAAAACCTAGCTATACAGCTTGAAGTTGAAATTTCAGCCTACATTGCCAACATAGCTGTACGACAAAGAACTCCCCAAACACATGTGGGACTTAACGAGCGCTACTTTCTATAACTATACATATTGTTAGGCACATTTAATATTACAGGACAATGTAAATTGAAAATGAAAAACAACAGTTTTCACAGCATTATGAAATCTCCATGCAGAATCTTCTTCATACCTTAAAGCACGAGGCTCTGTAAAGAAGCTGGACAACATGCCCAATGCTAGTTTTAGAAGCCTGAGGAAATCGCGGCTCCAGCCTCTGAACCACAAAGAGAACCAAGACCTTTCGTGACAACGCAGATCCGTCTTCCAGAGCCAGTAGAACCAGCTTTAAAGCCTCCTCTTGCATTGCTGGTGGGAAGGAAAATGTGTAGAAGAGAGACAAAAGATGAGAGAAGACCAAGAAAGATTTCTGTACAGTTTCTTGTTTCCCTATTTAAGTGAGAGACCAGCTACAAAAATCCCCCAACACACACACCCACATCCCCCAGAAACCCCCCAGACAGGAAAGGGAGCTAAGCAAGAAGGGAGGGAAAAGAGGGAAGAAACACCTCCAGATGCCCAGACTATGACTGGGGAAATAGGACTTTTTGATATTTTTTTTTAATTATTATTTGTTCTACATTGGGTATCAAATGATAGAAAGACTTCTTCATTTCTGTGTATACCTCTCTCGATTATTAATATAAGAGTTTACCATAAGAGTTTCATGCCAGCAGAAGAAGCTGACAGGCTGAGGAAGGGCAAGGTTGGTTCCCATGTAGGTAAAAGAGCAATTAGCGCCCACACAAATAAATCAGGTGCTGTAGCACTGCATATTTTGCTAGGTAACAAGCCTCTCTCTGCCCTGCAGTGGCACAAAAGTTAGCATCCCAAAGTTAAGTCTTCCTTTATTTGTTTCAGTAGGGTAAAGCTTCTTTATTTTAAGAAATTAGCTTCATCATTCAAGGCATTATTTTTGTTGGTCCTCTACAAGCAAAGTCTACATTTTCAGTAACAAGACTTCATTAATTTTTTTAAGCAAAATTGATTGGTTTAGTATCCTATGAAAAGGAATTTTATTTCTCAATATGTAACTTTTTAAAATTATATGCTGCCCTCCAAATGTAACAAAAAACAACTGTTTTGTATGTTTATTGCCCTAGAGAAGGAAAAGCAGCTACGTCCAGTCAGTTCTAGTAGCCTTTTTTCTAGAAGCGTCTTCTTCAAAGAGCAGCAAGTAAGAAACTAATTTTATCTTATCACAAGAATAGAAGGATACACATTATTCTGAATTTGACTTGCAAAAGCACTAAAAATGCTAGAAAGTTCATGACAGCAGCTCAATAGATATATCGTTAATTCTGAGGACCTACTATTAAGAAAGTAAGCCACTGCCTAATAAAATCACTCAAACAATTTGACACCCTTTTATAAATCCTCCTCAATTCTGAATTACTTCTCGTATAGAAGTAGTACTGTGATGTTACGTACCTGGTCCAAGGAACTGGCACCCTCTGGCTCTCACTGCAGCCCAGAGATTGGAAGAGAGCTGCTGAGGATTTTGATGCTGAAGAATGAGCTCTGTTACTGTTCTTTCACCAAGCGACCGTGCTGCACGCATGGCTCTGATCCGCCCTTCTTCCTCTACTAGCTGGCAATGAACTAATGTCACAAGTTTCCTTTGCATGGGACGACTTAGCACGCTCTGAGTAGTACTGTTAAGACCCACACCTTCAAATCAAAACAAAGCAGGAAAAAAAAAAATAAACTACCTCATACCTCCTCTTCTTATACCAGCCTTCAACCACTGTACTGTAGAAGCGCAAACCCAGTTCTCCTGATGTCCACTTTGCTAAACAGAACACTAGAGAAGGCATATCAGAAGTTCATTTTTGTCAGTTTGTTTTACTCAGCATTAAAAGCCAACAATGCCCGGGAGTCAGCTTTCCCACAGGTTTAAGTCTTGTGATTAACTGATTTGGCTCTCTAAGAAGGTGGAACCTCTAATGAATTCTCTCCCCATGTTGGAAATCTGTCCTGCACCCTCCCATACGGATTTCCCAGGTGTCTCCTCAAGGGTAGGATCATACTGCAGTCCTTCCCTTATTCATGGGCTTCAGGGATCACTGCCTTCTTTGGTATTTGTCTGCTTTCACAAGACATTTAGTCCTTTTATCCATATCCGATACCTCCACTGATTTGGCCTAGACAAACTGAACTTGCGTGAGTTCAAAACTGTTCAGGTAATGTTTAATTATGTGCAAAAACTGTGATTCAAAAATGTGCTGGGAGCCACTGAAACCAGGTTAAAGGAACAAGTGACTCGCTAGACATAAGCTGCCATACTCAGTTTGTTCCACAGCGCACAGCTTGTTCATTGGGCCACTACTACTCAGAGCAGTACTGCTATCACACTGTACTAGTTGGAAAAGCTTGAGACAGCTTTTCGTAAAAATTCATTTTTGAAAACCTGATGCCCATGATGATCACCTCTACTGCTTGGGTTGACAGATTTTCCAAGTCCACCATACATAATATAGATAAAATCTGCACTCTTGAACCTAGTGCAGTTTTACTAAACTAGAATTACTTAGATTGACCCAGCTTTTGTACAAAATGCTGTATAAACAGAGTACTACTTATTTCTCTTACATATCCTATATGCAGTATCTTTCTCATTTCAGTTTATTCCTCCTCCACAAACAAGCCGCATCACTACAGTTATCTTGAATCAAAGCAGAACTCAAACAAAAGGCAGAAGTATTTTTACTTAGTCTGCAGAGGTCAACTCAACTTACTAAATTTGCCTCAACTTACTATACTACAGCCAAATACCTTGGCTTCTTTCCAGTATAAATTTTGACAAAATGCCTTTAAATTCCCCCCCACACTAAGTGAAGACATAACCTTAATGCTTAGGAAAGTTGTTTGAATTTGTTTCTAAACAAGGTCCAAGTCCATTTTTTCAAACAGAACAACTAGTCATTTGAATAATTTGTTTTGCATCTTCTTTCCAGCTTTCATTTTCAAAGGAAACAATGCAGGAACTACCTCTTGCGCTGCTGAGTGGTTTGAGGTACAACGCTAATTCTTCCACACATTTCTTGCCCTCCTCATAATGCTTGGTATCTTCAGCTCCACTACATAGAGTAATTGGCTGCTGCTCAGGAACCTGAAAGGAGATGACATGTACATCTATGATAAATATGCACAAATAAGTGGCAGTCATGCTCAAAAGCCACATCAAGCTCGTTAATATGCAGCATTTCCTGTTTTGTTCCCCTTCTGTGTTTTTTCTATATTAGTAAGCATTTTTTCAGCTTGTTTAACAAACAAATGGCATTAAAAAACCCAGCAAAAATTAACACAAAAAAATGTAAAGAATTTATCATTAGCAGACTTCTTTTATTTAGTGGCTGACAGGAATTAGAAGGACAAGACTTACTCCATGACAAAAAAAAAAAAATACTACATGAGAAATATGGCATTTCTGATAACTATAAAACTTTGGCTGAATTAACAAACACACTGAGACACCCCCAAAGCTGGCTGGCCAAAAAACAACCCCCAAATCAGAACAAAAATCAGAAACCCCCTGCTTTGCAGGTAAGTACAGATTTGTATCTAGGGCCTCAGCTCTAAAATCATCTAGGGATAAGTGATAGGACCTACCTGGATTAGTGGGATAAAGACTTAGCAGCAAATGTACTAGGGCACCCTTGGAACATTATTCTGACTGGGCCCAATTACCAAGCAGTAAGATCAAGTAATCCTGCACAGTGTATATGAACACAACCTGCAAGTGTTAATCTGACAACACAGGCCAGTTACCTTCTTGAGTTGGTTTGTCTTGGTTTGGTGGTTTTCCTTTTTGTTGTTGGGTTCGTTTGTTTTGGGTTTTTTTGTTTGTGGCATTTATTTCTTCACCCAGGCATTCACCAGAAATCGGGATTTTTTTTAAAGCAATGCTGGACCCCTCCCCCCAAGTTAGAATTTTGTTTTTGTTTTCATCCAGTTAAATTCTTAAAGCTTTAAACAAATTTGGGGGTGCAGTATAGCATTGTACTAATGTTTCTCAAAGTCACTACTCAGCAATCAACTCAATAAGTGATAGTATAAAGAACTGGAATTTTGTGTAAGACTAAACACAAGCACTTTTTGCATATGCTACCAAAGTGCAAACAGATCTCAGACTTCAACTTCTATTTCCAAACCAATCATTACCCCACTGGCAATAACGGCATGCTAATCCCACATAGCTGCTTACAGGGACAAACCAAGGCCCTCAATCTAAAAGCGCAAGCCTTTAATGCTTGAGTTTGACAGCTACAAACCCGCTACACCTTCACATGCAACCCAGCCATGTAAATAGTAGCATTATGATGGCAGCAACAAATAAAAGCAGTGAATATATATATAAAAAAAAAAAATATATACACACACATATATATGGTTGCCACCGCCAATGTGGACTGGAGCTTTCCTATCAATTTTAATAGAAAGTATATCTATCTACTTATAATAATTGATATAAAGTTTCAATCATTAGATCACACTTAGCACGCATAGTTGTCTAAACCTGTATAAGTTGCTCATTTGACACACGTTGCAAAATAAAAAAAAAGTTATTAGCTACATAACAGTAGGTGACAAAAAAAATCTTCAAGTGTTACCTATGAGCTGCAAATAAGAGAGCTGATACCACCCCAAAACTAACATAATCGATTTAGCCTGGATCAGACACCTCCCATTTTACTCCTACTGAAGGGAAAACCAAAACCAAGTTTAATCACACCAAGACTGCCAGGTTAGCCTAGATGCTTTTCAAATACTGCAGTTAACTTGTGAAACTTGGGGTGGTTGTTTTTTGGGTTTGGTTTTTTTTTTTTGGTTGGTTGGTTGGGTTTTGTTGGTTGTTTTTGTTTTTTTTTTAATTTTGGGGATGAAGCAACTTTTGTTTGGAGCGTTTTGGTTTGGTTTTGTTGTTGTTGTTTTTTTGTCTGAAAGTTTTCAGCAAAAGGAGATTTTGCAACTGCATTTTATATTGGTCAGCCGTAACTGTTGCAAAAGCAACAGCCTGAGCTGGACTGGTTTCTTGGGATTTGGGAAACAAATATTAACACCTTCAATATTTGCTTTCATGTTAACAGAATACTCCACCTCCTTTTCAAAACTACTGCCATTTTAGGAGTCTGCTTCTGTCTGGGCAGTTATACAAGCAGAACTTGCTTATTGATCAAACAACGTGCATCTCATGCATTTGTGCCGAGACAGAGACTACAGTGTCTCTGCCCTATTTACTGCTGTAATATATTTTGTGCAAATTCCTATTTACTCCCGCAAGCATTCAGTCTGGCACTGGCAACAACATGAAATACAACTACAGCATCACAACACCCAGCAGACAAAGCGGGCTTGGAACAGACGTGGGACAGGAAGCCGTGTTCAGCCGGGGATTTCGATCTTGAATTAAGGCAGGTTTAGCACACATTCACAGCAGCGGTTTGGAATGCCATACACAGCACAACTCCGCCAGCGAGACACAAGGTCTATCTAGGCAACTAAAAGGAAACTTCCCCCTCCCCCAGGAAAAAGCTGGCATAGAAAAAACTTCCAAGAATTAATCAAGCTATTCAACACTGTATCTGCATATCATTCCCATCTCTTCTCTCTGCAAAGGAAGCTTCATTGTAAAAAACCTAAACACCTTGCACAACTGTACTTTTAGCAAAATAAGCCCGACAGATATTAGAGTTTAACTGTCATCTTAAGCTGGAGCAAGTGTAGCACTGAACAATGAAACAAGATGCTTATTTTGAGGTTTCAGGAGTCTTAAGGACCAGAGAATGCATTTCTCACACACACACACTTCATCTTCACTCATGTGATGCATCTCACAGTAAAACTTACAAATAATTTGCCTTTTTGCTGGTTCTATTATATGCACTTCTAAGACTTTAATATTTTAGGGTTAGAATGATTATAAAAACAGCATCTACCAAGAGAAAAATGGTAACTCATAAAAGTAACAGATGATCTGAATTCTAATTTTGGGTCCGTCATGGAATTGCTGAGGGACAAATGAGAAATAATTTAACTCCAAAGCACTTTCACTTCCCTTCTGCAAAATTTCCTTTCAATAGCATGCAGGACCCTATGGTCACTTCTGTTTACAATGCCTTGAGAGCCTCAAAATAGATGCCCTACAGAGTGAGTTCATTATTTTCATCCTCATTCAATATTCCATTCTCTCAGACACTGCACCCTTATGACAGTTTTCACTGCAAATATATTTACATTATATAATAAACACCTCCCAAGGGGGACTAGAACAAGACAGGAAAAATAATCTCAGATGTTTAATTACTCTAAATTTGTGACTGTTTTGCATGCATCTGCCTTGGCAATGACTGCAAGTATCCTGGCAGTGGAATGCTGCCCATCAGCATGACTACTTGGGGCTGTGGGAAGAAGCAGGTTATGACGGCATGAGGAAGGGGACCGGAAAAGAATGCTAAAGCATCATCTCATACCAGGCAGTGATTTTGAATTGGTGATTTAAGTATAATTTGATGAAGGATGTCAGCTTGAGTTGTCACTAATTACCATTAGACATCTAATTGCACAGAATGAGAACGTGTTAAACAGACCAAACCCCTTTTTGTCTGGTTTGAAAACTGTTTCCCCTGTATTTTTTTCCCTTGTGAATGGATGATTTGCTTCCTGCCAAAATAAAGCCCAAAACCAAAAAACAAAGCCCACTGTCTTCAGTTCCTCAAGAGCTTGCACTAAGGCAACTTCTTCACAGATAATTCCTCTTTTGTGGCACTTCATTTCGCCAAAAATTACAATACAACATTATGAAATGTGCCACTAATATCTCTGCAATTGCAATCTTCCCCTTTTGAAAGGGCTGTGAGTTAAGATCATTCCACCCGTTCTCTCATCATATACATGACTCCATTGCCTAATGCCTAGAATAATATTTATCACGTCCAGCAGGAGACTATGAAAGAAATTAAAGCACCACAGGAATTTCTGCCACTTAATGTCACCTGTTTGGAACGTGCACACTGCTGTTTCATGTGTTAAAAAAACAAGAGGGAAGAGATTAGATGACAGATCCATGACTATGCACCTTTAAAACACTGGCCTGGTGAACGTTTGAAACAGTTGCATAGAGCGAGTAATATGTGGATGCTTGAATAGTTAAAATTCAAAACCTCATAGAAACTGGCTTAAGGGATTTCTTTACCCAAAAAGTTTAAAAAGCAAGATATCCCATGATTGCCTTTTTGATTTGTGTTCAAGGCCATTGTACCTCCCTTCCCTCATAATATGCTTAGCTCCTGCTTAGGCGCTCAGCTATTTCCAGTTCTCCCAGGAATAATAATTCTCATCTTCCCCTTATAATCCCTTATCGCTGCCACCATCTTCTGTGGCTGAACTTATCTGTATGTGGGCTGAATTGCCTGACCACTGCCTTCTGGAATAAGACCCTGTAATCACTGTTGATGTGTACCACGCTACAGCGGGGGAACAAGAATTTGAGTCTGCACCAGTTAATTTTCACATCAAGGGTGGCTATAACCTGGGCAACAGGTTTCATTTTTGGAAAGGGGTGGGGAGAGGGAAAACTGCGAAACAGCCTGTAATTCAAGTAAGAAACCAACTCTTCCATCATTAAAGTGACAAAACCTACACAGAGAGATAATGCTATTGTCGGAGAAATAGGTTACTGCTTCCCCGGGTGCCTGTGTGACAAATTTAGTACATTTTCCCCAGAAGTACAGTCCTGCTTATTTCATCCATTATGCCTGCGTGAAAGCCAACCAACGTGACTTGCCCTGGAATCCTATCATTGCTGCCAGTCATGGCAGAATAGATTCGTTTCTTCAAACTGCCTGGTCTCCTCCTCTGCCTCCAGCAAAAAAGCACTTGACACTTATAAGTGTGTGAACTTCTCAGAAGCCTCCCCAAAGAGAAAAGAACAAACTGTTCTTTCCCCCCCAGATAAAAGCTTTAATTGTGCTGCACTGTATTTTCTTTAAAATGAATCCTGTTTTTTTAAATTTACAATTTAAAAATAGAAGTATTACACATCTCCATGGACTCAGGCTAAGGTGTACAGGGGTTTGTTGGAGATTAGGGGACATTAATGGCACATACACCCTCCTGAAACTAAACCAAGTACTGGAACAAGAAAACAGGCTTTGTTTCATTAAAGCTGTTGATACTATTCACGCTCTGTAAGCCGGCTTGCTGCTCACAGATCATTTTTATTGACATGTACTAAAAAGAGCCCGCCTTCCTAATGGGATATTGTTCAAAATTACTGTAGTTTGTCTAAAGTACTCCTTTTTTTTTGTGTGTCCTTAACCAAGATTTTTTCTGTAAAAAGCTAAAACACGTCCTTAGAGAGCTTAGTGGAAAATAGCAACTGTTTCCCCGTCCTTCACAGCAAAGTAGTACATATTTTCTAGTACACCATCATCTGGTACACACTACTACAGG